ATGATATTCGTTATATACGGCAACAGCTTTAAGGCAAGGTACTTCTGTTTTAGTATCATCCTCTTTTGTACGATTTACAGATGTAATAATCGCTGAATTATGTGCAGTAGTCAACAATGTAACAGCCTTTTTGTCCATCCACTTTATTGCAGCAACACCTTCCTTAGTTAGGAACACTGATTCCCCTCTTTGTAGTTTGTTATTAGCCTTCAGCATTGGTGGAAGATCCTTCCTTTGCGGCCTCACAATCCCCACAGAAAACAGACCACTTATAAGTAGACTTTTTGCAAGCCTAAAAGACGCCAAATAGTTATCATAGGCTATAAGATGACTGGTCTGTTTCACATCTTCCGTTGGTTTAGTTATTACTGTTTCCCCTAAGCTCAATATTTTATCCTTATTATCAGAAGTTTCTTTTCCACAATAAATTTCAAATTTTTGAATATATCTAGTCTTAGAGTCCGCTAAACACCACACCTTGTAAACCTCTTTTTATAGGCTTCATTGGCACATACTGCTTCAATGAAGTTCTCCCTTTGAAAGCTATCATACATTCATCTATTCATAATGTTGACGATAGTTCGTAGACTTTAGGTATGGAATCATTGAGCTGTGAGAGGATGGCTGATTTTATGGAAGTTTATCACGCCCAAATTGTCCACATGGATTTGTGCTGTTATCGTTTACATGCAAAGTCTCAGTTATTTTTTGAATACCTCTTTGCGATTATTATTCTTGCTACTGGATTGGACCATTGAGAATAGGAGCCTGTGCTCCAGTAGTTTTTCAGTTCACGCAATTGATGTATACCCATGAGTATATGCATACCTACCCATGCTTTCAATTCTTCTGATGTGATTTCTTTCCAGTTCAGGATAATATCTTTTGTGGTATGACCCAATCTCTTCCTTTTCTTGGGCTGCTTTGCATACGAGTTTATTTCGTAAACAATATTCTGTAAAATTTCCTCGGTAAAAATCATGCCAAAATAATCCTTTTCTTTCTTGGTAGAATTGAATGATATTTTAAAATGTATTTTCAAAAATATTCTAATTTCTCCAACATATCTATTGCACGTGGCTTTTATACATGATGCAACAGCATTTTCACTTTTCAGCCATTATTTATTATTCAATATTAGATAGTTACTGCAGAAATATACAAAATAAGGAAACGTTATTATAATAAAAACAGTGTTTTACTTACATTTGTCGCAGAATCGTATGCAAATGTCAAATCAAAACAGGTGTCTCAGTGGAACAGATCTCACACAACGCGTTCAAACTTTCAAAACAAATGTGGGTAATTCTGTTTTCAATCGTTTGAACACAGATGGCAGCACAGTACTGAAGTGGGAATTAGAGTTCCCAACGTTAGCAAAGCCAATATATTATAGTGGGTTTTGCGCTTCCCACAGGTGTATATCCCAGGAACATATAGGTGGGAAGTAATCTTCCCACGGCCCACGAAAGGGAAGAGCATGAATTAGCATAACACAGAGAAAAATTCAAGGTTTTGGTCATGTCAATATTTTCCTCTCCTTTTGCTCCATTTTGACTTCACTGAATGTCCGCGTATTAAGGCATTTTTAGTAAATATATGCAAGGAGTTAATACTGTATTTTTTTCTCCATACCTTCCTTTCGTTTTACTATTTAGTCTTAAAAAGAGGCTAAGGAAAATAGCGCAATATGCACCATTTTCCCGTTAGGCAAAATACTCAGCTGATTTAAAAAGCTCAGATGAATAGAAGTAATATTACTACTCGATTCTATAAACATTTCAAAGAAGTTATTTGCAGTTTCACACGCTGTATTTAACTATCTATCCGTACGTTGTATATTGCAAACACAAAACGAAACTTTGTAAATAATATGCTGCAAACGCTAATGATAAATAGATGTTAAGGAGAAATATGTAAACAAATATTTTATTCATTGAACTTACTCTTTTAAAAAGCATACTGCTAGGCTTTACGTATTTAATAAAATCTATGAAACACTCTTAAAATTATGCACATTTTAATGCCATTTTCAAAGCTAAATGTATAATTTTAAGTAGATCAACAATTTATTAATTACCTGATTTTGCATGAGCACATAAATCGCAAGGTATTTTACTCTTTTTGATATTTTTAGATGATTTTACGTTACGTTGAAAGTTAATAATGCAAAAAGTCAGTCAATTCTTCTAAAAATGTGCTAGAAGACAACCATGAGCCTCTTCAAAGTTAAAGCTGAATTTTTCTGCAGTATTTCCGTCCATCTAGCGTTAATCTCAGAACTTTCCAATTCAATTCTAAGAATAAAAGCTCAACTTAACTGTGCTCGTGAAGTTTAAATTCCTTTTCAAAACTTTTATAGCTAACTCTTGTTCTAACAAAGAGAGGTAGGAGAGGGCGCTTTTTTCTTTTACTTTTCTTCCAGTTTTCCTCTCTTTTTATCTCTTTACAAAACCTAATTGGATCTCAAACCCTCTAAATTTTTTCTCCCCAGAGTCTTCCGCCATGTTTTTCGATTAAAAATGAGAATGCTAAGAAATACCTTTCCACTGTGAAGCTTAAGGTTGCATCTTATCGAACCCTAATGCTGCAAGAAATTAATTACACACTTCATCTGTGCGAGAGGTTTTATTCTGAGACCGTTCAGCACTTTAACTCGAATTTTAACTTGATGGGTACAATTAAAGATTACTTACTCCTTTAAAACTTACGAATAAATATAGCAGCTTCAAAGACTTCTAATTTACTATTTTGATGGAAATAAATGCTTTAACTCTCTCGGTTTTATATGTCGCATTTTTTTTTAGAATACCATTTATACACTGGTTATCATAAATTAAGGAAAAATCACAAAAATCACGATTACTGAAAAAGTGCCATGTAGAATTTAATAAAACTTACCCACAATATACAACACATAGTAAGGTATCAAATAACATAAAAAGAAATTACCAGACAATTATGGTAGTATAGAAATTAACACATGTATAAAATGAAAAAATCGAAGGTGTCAAATTTCCTATAGGAAAAGTACCTTCAATAGGGAACATGGTCGCTTCTACAAGCAATACAGCACATACAGTGATGTGTGATGCTTTCAATTATGCGGTCTATCAGTTCCATAGGAAGCGAGAGCCAGTGCTCTTGCAAAGCTGTTGCCAGCGCGACAAGGGTCAGAGGTGGAAGACTGAGAGCAGCTAGACGTCTCTCTAAATCATCTCAAACGTGCTCGATAGGATTCAAGTCCGAGAATCGAGCTGGCCACTCCATGCTAATTGTTTCCTGTTGAAGATAATCATCTACGATGCGAGCCCTGTGTGGTCTTAACTGTGCGTCCTGTAACAGGAAAGCATCCCCTATGGTCCTGGCATATGGGCGCACATAAACATCAAGAAATGTCATCTCTGTAAACTTGAGCATTCACGGTTCTCCTTGGTACGACATGGAGGTCTGTGCGTCCAGCCAAAGAGAGGCCACCCCAAACACAGACACTGTCTCTTCCGTATGCATCTCTTTAACGGATGATAACGGGTTCCAGGTTATCTCCATATCAAATAACGCCTACTATCTCTTTCTAGACTAAACCTGGACTCATCCGTAAAGAGAACAGCCATCCACTGACCAAGCGTCCCGTGGACATGTTGTCGTGCCTACTGCAAACGGTCCCTCCTGTGGCGTGAAGTGCGCGGCATGCAAATGGCTGGTCGTCTCGCATACAGACCACCTCATTGAAGCCTTCTACGCACAGGTGACGTTGACACCAACCTTCCGGTGGCTGCAGCAAGGGAGGATCTAAGAAGAGTCGGAGTAGCGGTTCTATTTCTGCGTGCACATAATGTCAAATATCGGTCACAGCGCTCGTCGTAGCAGTTGGCCGTCCTTGGTTGAACCTCCTTAGGTGCCGAATCTGTGATTCCAAAGTCTATGAACCACAGTAGGACTCACATTTAGCCATCTGATCACTTCTTTTGACTTTATCCTGCCTCTAGTCTCCCAATGGCTCTCTATCGTAGTTCTGCAGGCAAAATGATGCCTGGAGGTCATTGTTACGATTTGGCTATCTCAGATTTCTGATGTCACTATCCCAATGAAATATGTGGGCTTGCTCTCAAATATGGACTTTTATTCTCCTCGCAGATGACATATTCCGATATCATTAATTTGCATATTGCAGTTTTACTCAGATACACTTACTTGGCAACATATTTAAATTTTACACGGTTTGCTTATTTTTGCGGGAGTTATCGCTATTTTTGTGATTTTTCCTTAATTTGTGATAACCAGTGTATAACTTTTATCCTTGCAGAAATTTAGATAAAGTTTATACAAAGATGAGCAAGATTAAAATAAAATTAAGAAACAGAATTTTACACACAAAGCTCTGCTGGAAATTTAATGAGCATATTTTAATATGTAGGTTTAATGAAATGGACGCCTACGAAAAAAAATTGACTCTAGTCAGTAGTTTATATTATTGTCTTTATTAGAAAATCGAAATTTTTGCTTATAGAATGTTGATTGTAGACTCTAAAACAATAACAATGTCAGTGCTCAATATAGTTCCCATTCTGTTTTACATTCGCACCAACGTTTAGTAAAACAGGTAGCTAAAATGGTACATCGATCGAACTTCATCGACATCTGAAACTTCGTTCCAATCAGAACTCTACTCATGTCGCATCTCTAGGTTAATACTCTGTAGAAACGTTTCACCATCGATCGCGTACCGATTAGGCAGATTTTATGGGCATTTTATCTTTCATTTACGTGGAAAGCTCTTACCATATTATACCCTCTGTGAAACTTCAACTCTTTATGAGTGACCTAATGGGCTAATTCAGCATTATTATGCAATACTAAGACCACTCTTTTTAATTCTGATACGCTGGTTTCCTCACACCATGCTCTCAATGGAATGTTACACTGCATGCTTATTCGACTATGTTCTATTGTAGAGTCATTGGGTTAATTGGAAGCAGAAAAGATGAAAAATATGCAACCGCCTTCGCCCGGAATCGAACCACGGACCTCTGGAATGCCAGCCCTGCGTGCTACCGTTGCACCACGAAGGCACGCTAGGGAAGTGGGAGAAATACCTTATATACTCCCCTTCTTAAAGGGCGACTAGGGTTTTAGGGGACCTAGTCGCTAAATCCTGGGTGGGGAGAATCAGAATCCACAATCCTTATTATTTCAGGCGCCACTGTAGAGACATTAGGATTTTTTGGAAGCCAGAGAGATGAAAAATTAACAACCGCCTTCGCCGGGAATCGAACCACGGACCTCTGGAATACCGGCCCAGCGTGCTACCGTTACGCCACGAAGCCACTCTAGGAAAGTGGAAGAAATACCTTAAACTATAAGCTTCCATTCTTTTTCCATAAGATTCCATTCTGCAAAAAAATTATGTCACAACCCTTCATTGATCTACTTTGGTAACAAAGTTGCATAGGTTCCGCTATGCAACTTCGCTATGCAACTCCGCAATTGGGAACGGGACTAGTCGACGTGGCCGTTTCATGTTTTTCTTCTGGACGTTTCCGTCTTCGGGACGTTTCATGTTTTTCTTTACAGGACTGTTTTAGATCTTGCCGTAATATTAAGTTGATTTAGTTTAATAATTTTGTTTAGTTTAATAATTTAATTAAATAAACATTTATATAGAATAATGTATAAAATATTGTTGTGTACAATTTTATACAAATATATCGTTACACATGACATATTAATTTTAAGAACGTAATGTGCTGACAAGATTCCAAAATAATTCCGTTTTCCATTCAGATTTCATAAAAATGCTAATTTCCTGCTTGTATGAGTGATTTCTCTGAACTATCCGATTAAAATTTCATTTTTGACGAATCATGTAAATATTGTAACGGCATAATTTTAAAATCGATACAGAGTTTTAGCCCCAGTCCTCTTTGACACTGACATAATTTTCCAACTAACTATATGTAATTTCTTTATATCTCATACTTGTAAACACCTATATATATTACAAGTAACTGTTATTAAGTATACAAAAGGTAAACATAATTTTTAACCTAAATAAATTTAATACGAGTATAATACAGCAAGACATAATACAGTCATGTAAAGAAAATATGTCTTGACGGCGAAACGGCCAGGTGAAATGGCGACAGCGAAAAGTCCTGGACCAAACACAGTCTACTTATAGCTCAATATCACTGTCTTGTATACTTGCTGCGACAGTGATATCGATCGAAATCGTGATTTTTATGACAGCTTTTCACGTTTCCTTATGAACGGGCTAATAGATGCATGTTAAACTTGGTTCATATTTCGCTAAAGTGACTAAATATTTCATTCACGTCCAGATAGATTTTAAATGTATCAAAGACGGTATCTAATGAATAACATTGGGAAAAAGTATTGATGCAATGGACACCAATTAGAACCAATCAGATGTTTTAGAGAGGTTTATACCCACGAAAATACTTCTATTAATATTATGAGGATACCTTTTGTCATCACACAACAGCTAAGCAACTGATAATGGAGCTTACTTAACCCAGTAGCAACGTGGCACTTAGGTTGCCCGACGGAAAGTCACCAGCGGAAGCTGGAGCATGGATGAGATTCCTCTTTGTACCTTGTAGAGACATTAGGTATTTTTGGAAGCCAGGGAGATTGAAGAATTAGCAACGCCTTCACAGGGAATCGAACCACGGACCTCTGGAATACCGGCCCAGCGTGCAGGACTACTACACCACGAAGCCACGCTAAGAAGGCGGGAGAAATACCTTATATACTCCCCCTTTTAAAGGGTGACTGGAGTTTATAGGGGACCCAATCGCCAAATCCTGAGTGTGGAGAGTCATCATCTACAACGTTTTTAGTTCGGGCTCCACTGTAGAGACATTAGGTATATTTTGGAAGCAGGAAAGATGAAAAATAGCAACTGCCTTCGGGAATCGAACCTCGGACCTCTGGAAGAACGGCCCAGCGTGCAGAACTACTACACCACGAAGGAACGCTAGGAAGGCGGGAGAAATACCTTATAAGCTTCTTGAAACTTATAACTAATGAATGCATATAGCCGCATCTCTGATTTTTATCTACAGTTTTACGAAGCAGAAATGCGGCTTTAGCAACAGAATACGGTAATATGTCTCGTTTCTTCTAAAAAATTTCATTGCAGCATTCAAAAAAATAACAAGCATTCTAATAAAGTTAACGTTTTATCAAGTTAGATCTAAATTAATCAGTGTGAAGAGTCATTAGGACTTTTTAAACAGAAGACTTGAAAAATGTGCTTGCTGGGACTGGAACCTGGACTTCTGGAATACGCACCGAGTGTGCTACCGTTACACCACGAAGACATGCAGAAAGGAGAAAGAAAATACCTTATAAATGGTCAGAATAAAATAAATTTCTTCTGCATTTATGATTTTTAACTGAATTACATTTCAGGGAAAGAGTTTAATTTCTAATGAGTACAGTTTCAAAGCTAAATAATAATAATTTGGATGCATAATTTTGCCATACTTTCCCACAGTTTATCCTTTTGGCATAATTTGTCAACTGACATAATTTTACTCGTGAAAATTTACCACCATTGTTATTACGACATGACGTATGACGAAGCAGAAGGTTTTCAGTAGAAGCAAAACTAAAATACATTTATTAGGTTTATCAGGTTATAGTTACGCCAAATGATAAGCAAGCTTCTATTTTCCTGATAAAAACATTACTTCGAAGACGGCCGGGTATTTCCCGGAAAATAATCTCTACCGTTATTTCTCAGGATGTTATAAAATCAGACCTATCCTAAAATAACCCTTAATTGCTCGCTGCACTTACTGATACCACCAGTTAATATGGATACATAGTCTGACATGCATTTCTACACGGAATGATTTTGTGTATGGTGGCGAAAATACATCAACCTATCATAAAAAAGAGGCCTTACTTGACAACACCAAAAACATCTTTTCCTTTTATAATTTTGTATCGTAATATTTAATATGTCTAACCCTTATGATGGTAAAAAGTTTCAAATTAAATGTAAAAATGCAGGATGTCGGTTCTACATTAACATTTAAAATAATTTTCTTAATATGATTTAAAATGCGAAATTCTTAATGAAAATTAGATGTATATATGTTTACTAAAACGATGTTCCATTTATCATTTAAGAATAATTTCTATCGAAATTTGAAAAAAAAAATTTGTCTAAATATAACATAAAACCTATTTGAATGAAAAACATTTTAATGTAAAGTTTTGAATTAGACAAAAAGGCAAACTTAGAAGTGTTGTGTAAATTCTGAATAAAATTCTTTCGATGTTCAAGGCAATCAGGCTCTTTATAGATCTCTCTTCTTCAGAATTTAAAGAAAATTTGATTGCTTTCACCAATCCAAGAAAATCATTTTTCCTCATTTTAGGAGAGGTAAAACTTTAGTATCCCGAAACTGTTGCTTATTCTCTTGTATTATATCTTCTCTCACAAATAAATAACGTACGTTTTCTCAATAATAGTGTATTCCTTACTTTTATTGAGTTGTATTAGTTTTTCAATATTCAATTTTTGGTACTTTTCCGTTTCGCCGGCACAAATATCGCCAAGCAGACTTTATTGGCGACAACATACAGTATACACATAAAAAATGTTAGTTTTTAAGAATTTTTTATTTTGAAAGCATTAACATTTTAATATCGCTTAAAATTTTGTGAAAAGCCAATAAATAAAGACAATAAATTTGTAAAAAGACATTAATTTGAGAATTTACTATGCTTTTATGTTTCAACATCCTGATTCGCCGGTTCATATCACGTGACCCCAAGTGATCTCATCTCACGTAAACTATGCTACAAAAATCTAATTCTCTCACTAATTATCTACATTGATTTCAAGTTAAATCTTAATTTGGAGTACAACTTTAAATGAAAGAATTATTTCAATTCGTACGAATAGCTTACTCAGAAATTATGTAAAACCGCAGTGTTTACTTCGCTAGTGCATTCTCATTAGAATTAATTAATTTAAATCTTGACTTTGCTTTTCTATATTTTCGCCTTCGGATGAGCGGTGTGATTGCATCCTAATTGACTTAATGACCGTGAATGGCCTTAAGGCATAAAATTGAACTAGCTGGTAAAACTTCTATGTAATTGTATGCCAGTATTGAAAGAAACAATCAATCTAATAAGAAATAGCAGTGACTTATTTTAAAAATGAGGCGTAAAAGGTTACCAGCGAGGATATTCCGTTTGGCATCGGTTGTACCATTATTGGCGATTTTAGCGCCTGCGCCGGCAAAACGGAAAAGTACCTCAGTTTTTCTATGCAGCCTCATTAAGAACTTCAGTTTCGCAAACATCAAGAACAATTCTTTACTACTGAAAGAATTTGAAATACTCTGACTTGAAATCTACCCGTTGGCCATCGACATCTATTTTCTTAAAATTAGCAAGCAATGATACCTGTTTATTCAGTAGCCAAATCAAAGAATTTTACACAAAGAAAGAGTTTCTTGCTTCAATTCAAAACGTGCAAATTTAATCTGAATTCTTCTACGCTCAAAGAACAGATTCATTGTTTCTACCAACATACACAGTTAAACCGCCTTGAAAATGATTCTAAGCTATTTATTATTAATAGATTAAACACAGTTTAGGTAACGACTGCTAGCACTAGCACTCAGGATTCAACGCTGTTCTGTTATGCTACCCTGTGTCTTATTAGTACATTCAGTGTTTCGTACAACTGTATGTGTCTTCTGTCTCCACAATGCATCATTAAACATTTATGTCCTCTTTTTTCCAATTATTTCAGTTTTCCCCCCTCCCTAAATCAAAAGATTGTTTTGATATTTTACGCTTAGTTATTTGATGCAGAAGGAAAGAGAAATACTACATTGAATAATTATTTTATTCTATTTTATTAATATTTTATACTAAATGGTACACTGTCAGTTATTATTGATAGCTGTATAGACATAACAATATGCCATTTTTAATAATATAATTAATAATAATTACTATAATAATATAGAATTAATCTGATTAATTATTAATAAGACATAAATGTAATAACATAATT